GGCCCAGGCCTCGGTCAGCAACGGCGAGGACGCGGGCGGCGGCGCCGGCAGGGAGTTGGAGCTGGTGGACCTGAAGATCATTTGGAACAAGACCAAGCACGACGTGAAGGTTCCCCTGGACAGCACAGGTTCCGAGCTGAAACAGAAGATTCACTCCATTACAGGTAATCTCGGCGCTGACAGTCAGCCTCCACCACCCCCACCACCTACCAGTTCCTAGTGTGTACGCTGTTCCGGACTCTCCTGGGCTCTCAGCGCCCCGCAGTCTCGCAGTCAGTTCGTGAACGCCTGTTGTTAATCAGATGCGAAAAACGAGACCTAAAATCACTGCGAGTGAGTGTGAGATACCAGCCCCTGTCTTTTTGCGCAAGCTTCAAACTCGTACTGTTCTAACTTCGCTAGTAAAAGTCACCTGAAGCGCTTACTAAATTTCCATCTGTGGAGCCTTTCCCTGGAGATTATGATTCAGTGGGTCTGGGATGTAGCCACGAATCTATTTTTAGCAAATAACTTAGGTAACTTTCATAAGGGAACTTTAAGAAATATTGCTGTTGACTGTGATACTGATGCCTCAAAATTATTTATGTTGTTTTGCCATTCAGGCTTCTTTTTAAAGCTTTTAATGTAGCCTATAAAGTCATAAGAACAGTAACTTTGTCCTTATTGGTTTTTGTTCCTCACACCTGTGAATTCTCACTTAACATTTGAGTGAGTAGATGACTCAAGAACAACTTGGTAAGTATTTTGATGTTCATTGAGCATTACCTGAGTACAGTACCAGGTGATTCACTGGCTGCTCTACATTTATACTATCTTAATCCTTGAACCTTTTCTGAGGAACTGTCACCACTATCACCAAATTGTGGAAATTAGATACTGTGGATTGCTTAAGTTTACAAAACTAATAGGTGATGAAGCCTGTTTACTTCCAGCTATTACTCTCCATTATTTCCTCTCTCCCCCTTTTTTTTTCCTTTTGAGGCAGGGTCTCACTGTGTAGTTGAGGCTGATCTTGAACTCACTATGTGGTCCAGGCTGGCCTTGAACTCATATCTCATCCTTCCAAGTGCTAGGATGACAAGTGCACCGCCATTCCCAGCTTCCTGTGCTGTTTTGTTACTCAAGGGCTATGGTTAGTACATGTCTGTGCCTGCCTCTAACTATCTGCTCTCCCTACCTTTTTCCAAGGTCTCCCGCCTGCCATGCAGAAGGTCATGTACAAGGGGCTTGTCCCTGAAGATAAGACGTTGAGGGAAATAAAAGTGACCAGTGGGGCCAAGATCATGGTAGTTGGCTCCACGATAAATGATGTTTTAGCAGTAAACACACCCAAAGATGCTGCACAACAGGATGCCAAGGCTGAAGAGAACAAAAAGGAGCCTCTCTGCAGGCAGAAAGTGAGTTCATCTTATGCTTGTTGCTCATGAGAAATTTGAGGCTTTGTCCTCTCACCCCTGGCTGGTTATATTCTCCCTAGAATAAGTTCTTTTTGGACAGGGCCCATGATGGAAATTTATGGCAGCAGTTGGGTGCGGCAGAGTGGAGGTGACAACTACCTGAGATTTGCAGCTTTGTTTCATCTGGCGGGTCAGTGTGTCTCAAGTCTACCTACTTTAGAACAAGGCTTTTGTGAAAGGAAACATCAGACCAGATGTTAAAAGGAATCAGATACCTGTTTCTCTATCCTTTTTAGTGCTACAGAAAAATGCCAGCACTACTAGAATGAAGCCCTCATCTTTTGTACAAATGTGTAGGTTTGATTTTTGGTTTGTGGCTTCTCCCAAGTTACAGACCAATTATACATTGGCATGAAAATTAGCAAATATTGGAGGTTCCTCTAAAACTGACCATTTCAAGAAGCCAAATGAAGCTGAGTAGGAAGATAGCACTTTTCTTGTCCTGATCTGTGAAATATGGGCTGGGTTTTTCATAATTGCTCCATTGCTCATATTGTGTAGAATCCCTTTGTAGCAGACATTAAATTTTGTTTTTTTATTTCATTTACTTGCTTGTTTATTGTAGTACTGAGGATTGAACACAGCTTTGGCACAAGTTACATCCACAGCCCTTTAAAAAATACTTTGTAGGGGCCGGGGATTTAGCTCAGTGGTTCCACTGGGGCCTGCCTGGCAAGCGCAAGGATCCAAGTTTGATCCCTTCTATCCCAAAAAATATGTGTGTGTGTGTGTGTGTGTGTGTGTGTGTGTGTGTGTAGTAAAATTTTGAGCGAGGGGGCCAGGGATTTAGCTCAGTGGTGCTGCTGCCTGAAGGTCCTGAGTTGGATCCCTAGTATCAGAAAAAAAAAAGCGGGGGTGGGGTGGGGGATTTTGTTCTTTTCGCCAAAGACTTCCTAAGTTGCTCAGGCTGGGCTCAAACTTGCTGTTCTCTTCCGCCTTGCAGTGCGCTGCTGATGGCAGGTGTGTGCCATCAGGCCTGGCTGAAGGTATTTGTTGATTGGAAGAATCATCACTTGTTCTTTTAACGCCCATTGAATCCACTTCTTGCTGAATAGCTGCCATACCAGGAAAACAGATGTTCTCAGTTTAGCCTGTGTCCTAGGCACAATAGATCCGCTTGATCCAGTATCCGTTTTAGTGAAAGTAGACATTGAGATGCATGCTCAGGGTGAGCCACAGTTGCAGGGCACAGTTTTGTGCTACAGATCCAGTCCCTTATGTGTGCTTGCAAAACCTAAAAATGTTTTTATAAATTTGGCGTTGCAGCCTGACCAGAATTAGTGTGAATACTCACATGCTGCTGTACACATAGTGTTTCTGGTGATGTCCTAGACTCATAGAGGATATTATGGTGGTTGGGGGGTGTGATACTGGGGACTGATTTTGAACTCAGGGCCTTCCTGCATCCCTACCTCTTTGTAATTTTTATTTTGAGATGAGGTTTACTGAGTTGCTATATTGTTTAGGATGAGCTGGAATTTGTAGTTCTTCTGCCTCAGCCTCCCAGAGTCCTAGGATTATGGGTGTGTGCTTCCATGCTTGGTTTATGTAATTTATATTTTAAAGCTTTATTGTTTTTACAGAGCCCCTGAAATTCTTAAATCTAAAACAATGCCCTTGAGGTTTGTTGCTTTTTGGAGGGGAGGCAGTGCTGGGGAAATTTGAACCGAGCGTCTCATACGTACTAGACAAGCACTGTAGCACCAAAATGCATTCCCAGTCCTTGTCCATATGGTTTTTGTTGTATTTTTATTTTGATGCTGAGGATCTACCCTAGGGTCTCCTACAAGCTAAGCACATCCTGTGTTAGTGAGCCCTAATCTACAGTCTCTGCTGAGCTTTAGATAAGGGATTATGAGTGTCCATTCAAATCTGAAAAGTGTTTATTTGGATAGTTTCACCCTCCTCTCCAGAGGAGTCCTGCTATCTTGTATTGAGTTCATTCTGTTTTTCCTCTTCATCCTGTGTGTGAAATAGTCAGATACTGGGTCCTGCTATCTTGTATTGAGTTCATTCTGTTTTTCCTCTTCATCCTGTGTGTGAAATAGTCAGACATCAATGAGTAGTCTCACAGGTCACACCCTTAGAGCATAACATACTTCATAAATACAGGTTTTGAGTTACTAATGGTAGTGTCACAGGCTTAGAACTTTTCACTGCAGTGCAGAAGGTACTTGAAAGGTCTGACTCAAATTGTGTTTCCAACCTCAGATGCTTTACTCCAGGGATGCCAGTTATTATGAGGCATGAGGCTCCATTCCCTTGGCTTTCTGGCCACTTGTTCAGGAATCTGGGGCTGATGTACAGCATGACACTTTTGTTAGCAGCCTGGCAATTTTGTATTCATTCCTCCTAGATAGTTCTGTCTAGCTGGTGAGGGGTTGTGCTGGCTCAGGCCTCCTGATGCTTAAGTTTGACTAGACTTTACTTTCTACACATTCATTGCCTCATACATAGTTCCAGCTTTACCAAGCGATTGCTGAACCTACAAAGCCCTAGATGGAGGAAGAGAGAACGAGACTTAGTCTTTTAGGGCAGGGAAGAGAGTTACTTTAAGGGGCCATGATGGAACCTTTAATGAGCTGCCTCAGAGTCCTTGGCTGGGGATGGGAACAGGGTTAAAGACTTCTTAATGTCAGAGTGTAGAGCACTCAGTATTCTGTTTGAAAATGTGGCTCCACAGGTTTTCTGTGGCTGAGATTGAGGGTGGAGCGGTGGGAAGGCTTCTGCAATGGGATGGATCTGCATTTGTTAAACAATGTTCTTTCTGCCAGGGATTTAGCTCAGTGGTGCTGCCACCTGCCTCTCAAGTGCAAGGTCTCAAATTAAGTCCCTTGTTCTAAAAAAAAAAAAAAAAAAAAGAAGACA